TGCAGATATCAATATCTAAGACCAAATAGCTCGTAGTAGCAAGGCAGTAATAAGAGACAAGTAATAATTTCTCAAGTAAAAGTTCTCGCTTGTCTCTGAAGGAAAAGAACAGGCTCAAGGGCTAATATAAGAAGAAGAAGAAGCAGAAGAAGTGGTAGCCGTTTAGTTGAACGCTGAACTTTTGAATGTTTTTTCTTCCGTCGTCGTCTTTACAGGTGAATATTCTTGATATCGAACTCTAGCTGCACTCAGACGTTCAAATCCCGTCTTCTCCCACAGTCCGCTTTTTTCCCGCGGGTATTTCTTCGTAATCGCCTATGGTCGCCGCGATTACAAGAGTGTTCGCGCACTTCACCTTCACTTTCTACCTTGATAATATTTTGCTATTCAACTATTTTCTTGGATCTGGTCACTCCTCAACCAGAATTGAGTACACTATTAAACCTCCGTTCAACATCAGTACTTCAACAGCTTTAAGCACTGAGTTAGCTGGACACGATGGAGTTAACTCGTCCAGAATTACTCCAGCTAAAAATTCTAAAATTTCATTCCAAAATATCCAATTTAACAGAAGTGATAACTGGGGTTCGGAATGTTTCTCCAAAGCCTGGCTAGTTCGAGTTTAAACATTTTGCCTAGACGTATTTGAATCTTCGGAGGACCGATCCAAATTAAACACTGAGGATTCATAGAATCTTTTATTGGATATTGGGATATTACATATCCCAATTTATTTGGAACAAGTTTATTGAAATAAATATTATCCGTTTGTCTTAATTTAGTTTGAAACTGTGCTTCGATGAGTTATATGGATATATGGTGCTCATTTCAGGTGATTTTCCTCATCAAGCCTTTTTCAGCCTGATACATTATCTATGGGGTTTCAATTGATATATGATAATTTTGTTGATGACTTTGACTATTACCCAGCACCAGCTCAGATTATTCTTCAACCAACTGACTTTTACTATGTAAACGGTAAACCGTTAGTACTTACGTCTAACTCTTTACTAAAGTATATGCCTATCTACAACTCGTAATAATAGTATCCAATTCCTTCTTTCCAGTTGTTTTTTCTCTTCTATTCGGCTTTCTTCTGCTTTATTAATATTTGAAACATGTAGTTTATATTTTTCTGATTTCTTGCCATTGAGCCACCGGCTTTGACACAAACAATCTAAGTACGATCTTTTGTTCAATTCCTGACCAATTTTCTTCTACAAAACCGGTAACTCAACCGGTGACAAAACCACTACTAATCCTGCTCCCTGTCCAAAAATTACGCAAAGGTCAATTTATTCCACTGATACTCCGAATTGCTCAAAATTTAGATTTTTGTTCAAGTTCGGAATTTGTGCAAAGAGAAAATTCTATTTAATGAAAATTAATTTTAATATATAATTTCGTTTAAATTTGGAATTTCTTATAAACAATTAAGTTAATTAAAAACAATGTTTTTTTGCTAACTCCACTACGGTTTGTAGCTAGAGCTTGAAAAAGCTCTGTAAACAAGAGGCAGGTATTAATCCTCTCTGTATTTCCAATACTCCAGTTCAACATCGAGGGAATAAACTCGATTTTGAACCTAAGTCTGGCGAATGTTTTCACCCGCTTGGTGCAGGATGTGTCAGACAAACGACACTTGAATTCGAATTAATCGCACTAAAACCTTGTCTTTCGGATTATCTATGGGATATGTGAGAATTAGAAGATTCTATTCAATCTGCCGATTGAATATACTGTCTCGAATGTTAGGTCAATGGTACATAATGCCAAAGGCGTATCATGATATGTTTGTCTCTAGTGCAATGCAAGAATTATTGCAGTGGTGAATTGAGTAGATTTTGTTAATTCTACTTATCCACAGCTACAGTTCTAATTAAAAATAACTGCTGATTTTTGGGTTATTATGTAGTGGTCTGTAGGAATTTGGAACAAACGTTTAGCCTCAAGCACTTTACATTCAGATAGATTTATAGTTGCATTTATAGAATTTTTAAAATATAATTTAAAATGTACAAACCAAAGTTAGTTTGTAAACAAAAAGTAGTATATGAAGGGAAGCTGCCGATTTATCTTGGAAGAAATCGGGTTTTGCAAAAATACATATATTTTCCAACTTTAAAAACATCAAGTGTTTTAGTTTAAGCACAGTTAAGGGCTAGCAATTAGGTCTAGTCACATGTTGTCTTACTAAATAGTGGAAATGCCCTCCATTCATCTGAATATAATAATGCAACAGTTCGTGGCAAAGAATGTCTGGTGTAATTTCTTGTGGGCCGCCACAGTTGTACGAATGTGGCAACAAACCGACGTCCTAAATGATAAAACGTCCTAAAATCACGTGTGTGATCATTCAAATGTAATTTAGTAAAGGAACCTCCGCTACAGAGCCCAATTTGAGAATGCAACCCCTATAAGCTCTAAATAATAAATTAGCACCTATCTGGCAGTTATTTTATTTCCTATCTGGCGCATTTTTCCCGAAACTACGGAGCGCTAGGCTCACACAAAGCCATCGTCGGTAAAAACGTCGCAGGTTCTTATTCTGATTTAATGAGTTTAATGTCATTATCCGCAATGATTTTCGGCGTTCGGTGCCGTTTAGAGGCATTTCGATTCATTGAGCTGGAAGTAAAGCTGCCAGACGCCTGATATTTGGCCCTTTTTAACTTTTTAAACTTCAGGACGGGACTTTCGCATTAAATTTGCAAAATTATAAAAGGGTTTTGATTAAAGAACTAGCCTTATCAATAATACCAGCACATTTTCACTATTCATTTGGTGAAAATGGCTGAACAATGTTGGTGAAATCACAGTTTGAAATTCGGTTATACTTTAACTGCATCACGCAGATCTATATCATCCAGCTCATAAAACTGAACATATACTTAACTTACGAATTGCTTTGGTTCAAATGTGAACTTTAATTGTGAATTGTAATTTGGTAAAACAAATTCTAGCAAAATAGTTCCGGAGAAATATATCATTCCATAGTCTACAAATGGAAATCAGATTTAATTAAAATCAATATAATATATTATAGATATTAATACAGCCAGTTATATCGACTTTACAAGTAGAAAATTTTGGAAACAAATCTTGAATTATGTTCTATTAGAATTATGAAAGTTTCTGAAATTTACGATTTGAAGTTCAACCATTTAGAAATAATTTGCAAAAAACCCTACTACTGGGTCCCTCTTCAAGAAGGCCTCTTCTCCGTTAGGGATCATTTTTCAATACATGTTCATTTGAAAAATTAATATTATTTTTGAGAGCAGATTTCCCTGGTTCAGTTTGGCCACCCAATTTCGGGACACCCTGTATACATTTTTTTTTTTGATAATGTACTTCAATTTTTCTCTGGTTTTGATATAATTCTACAAATTATACGTTAATTCTCATTATTTCTAACTTTATTGTTATCAATTGTAATCAGAACAATGAATTATTTACCTTAGATCGACTCCAGGAGTCCTCACTCTTGCTGCACGTAACAACTCAACTTTTTAACAAAAAGCGTTTAAATACCATGACTTATCAGTGAAAGCTTTGTATTCTGAAAATATGCTACGTTTATTTCTTTTTCAGTCTTAATTAGAAGTTAATTATGTTTTACTGGCAAAAATATGACTAAATTGTGTTCCTACTTTACTATAGTTTATTTAAAGTTTCCACATGTCCATTCTTCACATTAGGAAGGCAAAAACTATATAAAACTTGAACCACTAATTTTATATCGAGTTGTTTAAAAAGTTTGCTCATTCCACTTGCAAAAGCATCAAAGAAATAAATCGATATTAAATAGCCTGATTCCTGTTCTGCGTTAATATATCCCTCTGAGATAGACTTCTTTATTACAAAAGCGGTTTGCAGGGTGTTTTCATCTTCTCCTTGGCCGACCTGCATATCCCAATTCGCGTCTTGATTGAACGGATGTGTCTCATGAAATGGCTTGCTATTTTTTACTATGCTTCCGATTCTGTTCAAATTAGGCCGAATAAATATTATGTTTTAACTGAGATCAAAAGTTCGACATTGCACGACTTTAAGTCATAACTTAGACTATAGACTAGAAAACATGTACCTTAAACTTACCGCTCGATAAAAAATTAATTCTTCAATAATACTAAACAGAAAAAGATGTGAAGCTCTAACGGTTTATTCTGTTCTATGGAAAATAATGCATTATCTTTTTTGGGCATAATGATCATTTTTAATACATTTCTAGAAAACATTCCGTACTGTTAACTGGCGCAATGTACCAAACCAACCTATTCTTTTTCATTGATTTACTTAACTATATAGGACATGATACATGTAGTTATGAAAAGTTGCAGACTATAGGTATAATGACGCCTATATTGTACGAAGATCTGGGGATACTAGAAAGAAAATTGTACTTACAGCTATAACGAAGCACCAGAGTACAGTTTTCCGTATATTTGAAGTGATATACAGGATGCTTGTAAAATTGTACTTTATTATTTTCACTATTTGAATATGGTGAGTTTTCAATCTCTGGTTCAATATCATATTCAAATTTCACACTAAAACAGTTCTTTTCACTAAATTGGCGAATTCGAGAATATCAAATAGTTCCCAAAATGCTTTACCGTTAACGCCAATGCGGGTAACTCTGCTGTAAAACTTCGAGTTCGAAGTGTACCAAGTTGCAGCAAATCAAGATCAAAATGCGACATGTAACAGGTTTTAGTTTTAGATGACAATTTAAGTATTATTTTCTAATACAATGTTGTTCAAATAACGGAGAACAAAAATTATCAAGTTATCCATTTTCTCAGCAGGAAAAAAGCCTTTTACATTTTCCTCAAATGCATATTAGTACCCTAAGTCACTTTATTCATTTCAATATTAAATTTTGCTGATAAACATTGCATTGCTGATATACATTTACCCATTTGATAATTTATACCCTGCTCAAAATTACAACTTTTGTAAAACTGAAAAATTGAAATGAAATGAAAACCCTCGGATCACTTAAAAGTATTTTATTTCCAACAATACACATGGCAATACATTGTAGTAAGTAGTAGTAGTAACACTTTTAAAACAAATAATGCAGCTTGTAGGTTTCACTTCTTCAACTGCGCAAGTCGGATCTTAAGCTCAGCAACTACCGGCTGAAATGCTCTCTTCCACATTTCGAAGTAGACTTTCTCTAAATCCTCCTTTATCTTAGCCAATTCAGCCTCCGTTATGGGCTCGAACTGGCCCCTGAAATAAAACGAACATAGGATAAGTGATTGGATATTCGGAATAAACAATTCGTACTGACGTTTCACCAGCATCAGTAAATTACATTCTGAGATATCTCGGAACCAAAACTAGAGCTTAAATGAGAATGTGGTGTGCACTAAACATCAGTAAACATTTGATTCTGCGCACGCTTAGAAAGTCCAAGACAGAACCGCATTTTGACAATATGCCCCAAAGCCACTAAATCACTTGTAATTTGCGTTTAAACTCTCCAATTTTTAAATTCGTTAAGCCGCAAGATGACAAAAACAATCAAAAAAGTAATATATTTAAAAATAAACTAAATTTGGTAACCCAACTGTAGCGGCATTCATTACTCTGAAACACTTACAAGTTATTGACGGCATACTGAAGGTTATTTGCCCATTCTTGAAGGTCATCGTCTGGAAGAGATGAAATAGGATTGGTAATCTGCTCGATTTTCATTATGGGACTCTTGAACTCTTGACTTGAAACTTCTTTATTATTGAATTGATTCACAAAATCGATTTGTTCCGTGACAGTGACAACGCGCCATTGAACTATTGAACTAAATGTGTCAAGTTCAACGCTGTCATTACGTCTGAATGTTGTGGTTTCCATGGTTACCCATCAATACAATTCCGTTAAAGTTTGGGTCTTTTGCGCCTGCGCCATTCTGTCAGTGACTTGACGTTCATTATCGGGTGATTTGATATTTATCATTTTTATTTTTTACAAATTAAGCAAATTTTGTATTTTATTTCGTAGAATTACTTGACAGGCGGCAAATTTGCTAAGCGGGTGTACAACTGGAAAACATGCACCTCAAACGTACCAATTAAAACAATCGACACTTTTTTAAGTAATATAAGTAAATTTTAATGTAACTTTTTGAAAGAGAATTCACATTTTTAAGTATTATTTTGACATTCCATGTATGCTCTCAAGAGATTTTCATTTCTGTTTTCGTTTTGATTTATTAACACCTATCTCAGTTTTTGGTCAATATTATTCTTTGTTTTTATTTGTTCTATGCTTAGACGCCAGCTCCAAAAAAACGGTTCTAATTTCAATTTACCTCGTATATTAGCACGAATTTTTCACTCCTTTGTAGGCTTGTCTGTAGTAATTTAGGAATTACAGTTTTTGCAAAAAAAAAATTTCTGTTTTCTTGCCACAATGTTAGGCATTAACTGCAAATATCGTGATACAAGGTGTAAATTAATTGTCAATTAATCTCACAAATTCGTTTCGAATAACCTTTTCCAATGAAGAAGTGACCGATATGGTCAAAGTATTAGGGTTTTGCTAAAACAACTTGCGTGAAAGCGTACGCGACATATTTATTTTTGCGCAAAAACTATGACTGCTACAAGATTTTATAAAGAGCACAAAATTGTGAATAAATGATTAGTGCATCACCCAAAAAAAGTTAGTTGTTCCATCCACCAAATAAAAAGTTCTGGTAGTTTTTGTACCACGACACTCAAGAATTCACCACGTGTGCAAAACGGCTGAACTCGATTGTTTAATCAAAATATGAGTCTCACATAAGAACAAATTCACAGCGAATTTCACCAAAATACATCGTACCATTCTCCCGATATTTCAAAAAAGATAAATTTTTGAAGAACTTTGACCATCAATAGCCGAAGAGAGAGGCATTTTTTTGTAAATAAAAGTTAGGTCAGAACGTCTTCTTTTGATTCAAAGAATATCGCAGTACCCTTTTGAACATATGCTTATGGGACACCCTGTATATTTTGCTTCCTTCCTTCCACCGGGGTTCTTTTGTCAAAAGTGAAGCTCTGTCTGATGTTAATTTACAAAAAGCAGTCTATTGTATCTGTTTATTACTTTTCTAAATTTACTATCATGTAACCCTTAGGCAATAAACACTTTGATTGTAGCAGATTCGTGACAAGTTTTTGCCTATCGTCACCATAAGAGGGAGTAGCAGAAGCAAAAAAGGGACCTTGCAATACCCATTAAAGGCCCACAAGCCCGTCTGCTCATCGTCTTTTATGATGGCTAATTGTCCAGTCAGCAAAATGTTTTTGATAAAGCCCCAAGTCCGAGGAATCGCCCTCGTGCAATCCGATTTCCATTTTGCGGTGTAACACTTGGCTCGCTTTAGAACTGTGACTGTCAACAAGCCAATATTTGTCTTGCTTTCTGTTTATTTGTTTTGTCTAGGTTCTTCTGTTCATGAATATAGAATATTCGTGTGTTGACTTTCACTATTGAAATCATGTAGGCAACATTTTGCGCTTGTAAAGAAATTATTGTTTACGCAGAGAACAAATTTAATTAATTTGTTGGATGGCTTCGAAATCGATCTAAAATGATCGTTAATGTACAAAACTTAAGAAGGCGTTAGGACTCTCAATTACGTTGTTTTAATCAGAATTAAACTTGCTACATTCAAAACACAATTTATACAACACTTAACGTTGCAAAAATAAATGCGGTACCTTAGGGGAAGTTTTTAAATCCGGTAAATCTTATTTGTCGGTTATTTATTTATGCAAATAGCCCTTACCAACAATGCTGTCGCTCCCTAGGCGCCTTGTAAGACAACATCATCTCTAAATTACATAGAATTTTAACCGTCGGCGCTTATATTTTATTCCACCGGAAAATTATGAAATTAAGACGATTTTTATACTAATTTTTAACGGCTCTTTCCTTTTGATAAGGAACACCGCCTAAGGAGATGCCATTATTCTGCAATTACAAAACCCAGACCTATACAAAGAACGGAAACGCCACCCTTTTTGCTTTTATTTATTACTGTCTTCAAAGAAAATGTTTTATTTGTCGCCAGTCTTTTATTTTGGTTCCACTTTAATCAACATTTGCTTTCAATGTATAAAAGAACATTGTATTTACAAAGTTCTCACTTGTCATTGAATATGACACTTTCATATGTATGCACGGAAATCTCGAAGTGAAATGCACTTTTACGCTACACAGAGTGATCTCGCTACAAGGGATTCATTCCACTCATCTCGAAGCGAACCAAAGAAATTAACCAAAAACATGTGATCTCAACTAAGACTCAGACGAATTGAATGGTTTTGTTAGAAACGAAGATACAAAAAAAATAAATAGCAGAAATATAAGTATTTTGTATTACTTCACTCGAGTCGACTTGCAGACTAAACGAATTAAAAAGTCGCCATACATAAGCAAGTAAATTAGCAAAGTAAAAGCAAAAAGTCTTCAACATTTCACTAGCTTGCTGACAAATATTATGTGATGCTTTATTTCTCATGCTTAAACCCTTTATATTTCCGTTTTTCGGATATCAGTCAATGATGTAATGGTTTTTATTTTCGCCCCTATATTTATTATATTATCATCTTTACTTCGACACATTTCTGTATGTGACCCATTTATCAGGGGCGGATCCAGCTTTCGAGTCANGGGGGGTCAAGTAGTAGAAGTTCAGTCTTTTGTTGTCCATGAAATTAGAAAAATTCTGGTTAGTCGTTAAAATAATATTTCCTTGGCAAAGTTGAAATTCGATTTTCAACTGTTAGTATATTCTAGAAATTTTCACAAAAAATGTTGTCAGCATTTCTCTGGAACTTTCTGAGTGGGCGTCTATTCCTATATTCCTTAAAAGGAAAAACACCAATTTTGAATCAACCTGTATACCAGATTTTGTCTCTTTTGTAAGCTTTCAAGCAAGGACTAAAATATATTAAAGTTGAAAGTGAAAGTTTTATGAATATAACAACTGTCAACGGCTAAGCTAAATACGCCTGTGGATAAGTAACATATAAATTGACAAATAGTTCTTCAGTATTGAAAATTTTTAAAATGTTGTCTTATTTGGAAAAACGAATTATTTGTCCAAAGGGAATGAAAAACTATAACCTAGAGGGTATCTGACCATACACTTAAGCATCAAAATATAAGAGAAACTTTTTTTCAAAGTAGTGATTAATTTAGAAAGGCTATCTAAACGTTTCTATGGCAATTCTACTATTTTAATAAAAAGACAACCAAAAAATAGTATTTTCATAAATTGTTTAATAAGGATAATAAAATACAAATATGTAAAAATCTCCCTGATAATTTCGCTTATTTATAAATTTGAATTAAATTATTATTATTTAATAATTTGTCAAAATACTCCATAGACCTTTGAATATAAAACTAACTATGTTAGTTTTATATTCAAAGCCATAAACTGTATTAGGTATATTTTCATAAAGGTAGCAAACTCGCTATCGATACGTCAAGTGCCACTTTTTCCAATTAATTTCTCTGCTTATTGCGGCATCCTCTTACATCTTAGTGTGTCATAGGATACGCTTTAAGTCAGAGTTCTTGATTATTTTTCATAAAGAATTTGTTCTATATTGTTCGAAACAATATTTTGTTTCCTAGTATTACACCTATTTCGTTTTCATTGCTTAACTATTGTCAGTTTTACCGGAATATTCCTGATAGTTGGCATCTGTGAACAATTCCTAATGGGCTCAGCTGTTATAAATATAATAATTATTTAAAAAATCTTTTTAAATAAAACTGTGCAAACCTTTTTCTTGGTAGTCGATTTTATACTTTCAGAATTAGCAATCAGACAAGTTTTTATGAAGAATGCTTTACATAAAATTACTAACATTAGCGCGTCTAAGCAGATTACATGCCTTTGCCATAATTACCAATGATTTCCTGTACCAAATATATAGTGTAAAGATTTCAGTGTCAACTCGTGTTCAGATGTTAACAGATTATGCGTGAAATCTGCTCAAGCATCGAAGAGACACTAAGACGCAAACCAGCATGTATAAATTGGTATCTAATCAAGTTCCGTGAAGTCTAAAACAGTATCAAAAATTCTAACTAAAAATGATCAATTAGCAAGATCTGTTGGAACTAAATTAATATATTAATAGACAAACGTTGTAAAGTTAATTATTTGAAAATAGAGAAAGAAATAGCTGATAAAAAAAAAAGAAATGTGAACTGTAAGATATATTTCACTTTATTTCAACTGCCAAGCCAATGAAAGACTAATTTTCTAAAAAGGAAAATTCATTTCAAGCATTCAGCATCGAAAGTTGGATTATTGTAAGAGAGATCGCGTAGAGAGAGAACAAATGAAGGGGTAACTCCAGCATCTTGGTTAGGAGTTTAAAATAAATCCCAGCCAGGCGGACTGTGGCTTTAATTGATTTAATTACATTGTGTTAATTAGGGTGGCTGTTGGGAAGCAATTGAATATAACCCCGACGCGGCTGCAGCCCTAATGTCTAATACAGCATTTACAGAAATCCCTAAACATCAAACGGCCATTACGGCACTATTTCATTTAGAGAGGGATACTTTAATCACCATCGGACAATTCAAGACGTTTTCTTCGTTTCAAAATTGCCATTCAAATTATTTCATGTTTTGGTTGAATGAAAAATTGAACTGATGAAAATAATTGTTTTGCTGCAATAACAGACGCAAATTTTTGAAAACCCCACCTCGAGCAATCCAAAAAAACTCTCTAGTTTAACCAATGATTAAAAATTAAATACTAATGCACTCTCAGAAACCGTCAATTGCGAATTTTTGGGGTGTATAATCCGGCTTGTTTTAAACACCACGGGAGAACTAAAATTAATTTATGTATATTCATTTTATTGGGGATTTCTTTTAGACCCTGTTTGTTGCCTGACGGAAAGCGATTCTTAAAATAAAAA